TATCCTATTGTTGCCAACCTGTACATGGAGGAGGTAGAAAAGAGAGCCTTGACGTCCTTTTCAGGGACACCACCAAGTCATTGGTTCAGGTATGTTGACGACACCTGGGTTAAAATTAAATCTCAGGAAGTCCAACATTTTACTGACCACATCAACTCTGTGGATAAATACATCAAGTTCACACGAGAAGATGTAAAAAATGGCAGGTTGGCTTTCTTGGACTGTGAGGTCTCAGTCTCTGATAGAGGACATTTGCAAACTGAGGTGTACCGCAAACCCACCCACACAGACCAGTATTTGCAGTTTGACTCCCATCACCCTTTGGAGCACAAGTTAGGAGTCATCAGGACTCTGTATCACAGAGCAGACAGCGTCCCCACTAACTCAGGAGCCAGGCAGAAGGAGAAATCCTACACAAGACAGGCTCTAGAGCAATGTGGATATCCTAACTGGGCCTTCCTGAAAGCAGAGAAGAAACCCAAACAGGACTCCAGTCAGCCATCAGGAGAAAAGGAGGAACCCAGACCCAGACCAGTGGTCATTCCGTATGTTGAGGGAGTATCAGAGAAACTGAGACGTTTATTTTCTAAACATAACGTCCCAGTGGCTTTTAAACCCCAAAATACATTACGGCAAAGACTGGTTCATCCCAAAGATCCAGTCCCCCGGCACAAACAGAGTAATGCTGTGTATGCTGTTCAGTGTCAGGAGGGCTGTGATCAGTCTTACATCGGGGAAACTAAACAGCCACTGGCCAAAAGAATGGCCCAGCACAGAAGATCAACATCATCAGGCCAGGATTCTGCGGTCTACACTCATCTCCAGGCCAGCGGTCACTCTTTCAGGGATGAAGATGTTCACATCCTGGACAGAGAGGAACGATGGTTTGAGAGAGGAGTAAAGGAGGCCATCTTTGTGAAAAGAAATCGTCCATCATTAAACAGGGGTGGAGGCCTCCGGGTTCAACTGTCCCCCTCTTACAATGCTGTGATTGCTAGTATCACTCAGCCCTCTGTGAACAGTAAACAGCCATCAGTGTGCTAATGATCCATTGTTAGGCTGATGGTCCTTCTTGAGCATGTGAGCAGCTGGTTTTGGTTGTCAGCAGCAAAACTGGTTGATCCACTCTGAGAAGGTGCTATTTAAGAGACTGAGCTGAATACAGCACCTCAGACTGAGGAAGTCTCTTGGATGAGAGACGAAACATTTCTACATTTTTTTGTTGATTTGCTTTGTTTTGTTTTTTTTGAATGTCCAGAGGACAAGATTCAACTTTTTTAGATTTAGTCTGCGTACTTTACTGAACAGATACAAAACGCGGGTCTGCGCTCAACGTCAACACTTTAGTCTGCGTACTTTACTGAACAGATACAAAACGCGGGTCTGCGCTCAACGCCAACACTTTAGTCTGCGTACTTTACTGAACAGATACAAAACGTGGGTCTGCGCTCAACGTCAACACTTTAGTCTGCGTACTTTACTGAACAGATATAAAATGTGGGTCTGCACTCAATGTCAACACTTTAGTGTGCGTACTTTACTGAACAGATTTAAAAAAACAAAAACGCACCAACAAGACTCCGTTCCAAACTGTTCCTGCATGTTGACCCTTTTTCAGTCCAACAGCTGTTTCTATAAACAAACAACATGGCCGCTGTTCACAACCATTCAGTGACACCTCCAGACATTTATTAATGTGGGGATCTGCTGAAAATCCTTGGGGTGGGGTTGTCCCCTGTTAAACTCAGGTGTTGGAGACGTCTTTGAGGTGAAAAATTCAAGGCCAGAACAGAAATTCTGAAATGTAATAATTCTCTTGTAAAATGGCGATTTGAAGCCTTTGGCAACACAAGAGTTAATGAGCAACTGGTGCAGCTCCTCTTCTTTTCAGGTGATTTGGCTGATTCAGTGGTGAGAACATCTGGATTTCCACCACAGTCCAGTTCTAACGGGTTCTGTATTTTTACTGACGCAGCATGACGAACTGCTCCACATTAGGCTTTTTGTCCCTGAATATAGTCAATGTACATCTTTAATTTGAAGGGGAACATTTAACATTTATAACAAACAAGATTTTTTGAGTTTAAAACCACTTCTAATTCTTTTAAAAGCCTTATTTGTTTGTTGCTGCATTTTTTTTTATTTTATTTAGTTGTTTTTAACAAACAAAACAAACTAAATATAAATGTCTAAAACTGGAAATAAACAAAAAGCTATTAGAAGTTTTAATTTAAAGATATAAATTTATATTTTTTAATCTAATTGCTCAAAAAAAATGCTTGTTTTATGTTTATTATCCTGTCAGTGGGGGGTGGGGGGGTGGGGGGGACCAATGATTTAGGGGTGGCCAGTGCCCCAACAATTACTTATTGTTTAATTCATTAATTATCTTGATTTTTAAGTGAGTGGATACAACATCCTGCTTTTACATCCCTCAACCCAAACATAAGAGTTTGCTTCGCAGCTGCGCTCATTAAAGAAGAAAAAGTTAGAAATAAATAAATGAATGAAAACTGTTTTTAATTCCAGGGACTCTTTGTTAAATTAAAACCCTTCCTTGTGTTTTTACCTGCAGGTCTGAAAGTGTTTGTCCCCGTTAAACTCAGGTGTTGGAGACGTCTTCAAGGTGAAAAAGAGACAACTTGTTGCTCTTGTTGAGTTCCTTTCTGTTTTTAATCCACTCTTCTCCCGGATTAATCTGTGGATTTTAGTCCAAGCCATGACTCTTCCCCTTTAATGATTCACTACTTTCAACAGTTTATTTTTTGGATGATAAAGATGTTTGTATGAAGGCTAATGGAATAAATTTATATATTTGAAGAGTAAAGCCTTATTTTTCTTATTGACGTGGTTTACTTCTGTTAATTAATTATTTTAAGCTGCAAGCCAAAGAAAAATATTCAAAGCATGTTGTAGAATCTCCTAACTAGTTGAAACAATAGACCTTATTTGATAAATAATTGGCATTTTTTACACTGCAATGCATTCTGGGTAAATGTCAGACGGGTTGCTTTGATGCGAGCTCCGTTCAGCTTGAATGTTAATTTTAAACATTATCTGACATTCAGTCATTTAGCGCATTGACAGAGGAGAAATATATCTATCTATCTATCTATATATATATATATATATATATATATATATATATATATATATATATTATTACATAAGTAATTAGGGGTTTTCATATATTACAAGCAACGTTTAGTAGAAAAAAATATATATATGTTAAGGTAAATTTGTGCAAGTAATCAAGAGATGATTTTAAAATTAAAGTCTGTGTCACACCAGCAGTAATCTAAAACAGTAGTCGTCTTTTTAGAGGTAGACTTCTGTGGAAACAGTCTGAACAAACGATACTTTACCTGTTTTAGATATCTGTTTAAATGTCCACAGTTTGGGGAAATGTAATTTTATTCTGCCTAGAATAACGAACTAATGACGGGGCCAAGATGTGAAGTTCAACCAACTCATACTGACTGGATTCATAGAGCAGCCAATTAATACAGCTTTGGTTTTAAGTCTGTACGTATTGGTTTAATAAAATTTGCACCGATACAATTTGATTACGGTAATTTAGCGTTAGACAAAATGTCTGCAAGCACGTTCTTCAGGCATTCCACTGTAATAAAACAAAGCTGAAAAAAAAAGTTTGTCTAAAACTTCTTGTAGACCTTTGGACAGTGCTTCTTCTAGTATAATTACTGTTTGGCAGAACTGATTTCTCATTAAAAAAACATCTACTGGCAGGAGGACTACTGCAGCGCCAGCATAAACAGCAACAAACACTGAAAATGTGCTTCATCCTGATCCAGATCAACTAATATTTCCGAAAGAGAAAGTTAACTTGTGTCTTAACTGTGGATCAGGTTCTTTGGATTTTTTTTGTAATTTTATAGCAACTCTGTTTGTAAGAGGTACTTTTTTTTTTAAAGGTACCAGATAAGTCTCAACAACTGGAGTGGAATCATACAGTGTTTCATTGATTTCAATGTGTGGAATCAAAAGTCATTTTACATGGAATTGCGTCATGATTAAAAGCTGAATCGGATCTGGGTTTTGCTCATGCTCAAAACCAGTGGGGCCCAAAGTAGCTCGCTGCATTCTTAAACACACTCAAATCTAAAACCTCATGGGGGCTCGTGTAAAAGCCACATTTCATAAACACTTCCACCATTAAGTTTGTGTCACTGTGTTATCTACTTCGAACTAGCAGTGGGTTTGCAAACACAACAGTATCAGCTAGCTGTAGCACTTCCGCTGCTGTTGGGACACATGGCCAGCATTCCTTAACATTTCTGCTGGAACGATGATGTAATGCTTAACTGACCGTTTGTTAAACAGCGTTTGGTTGAACTGCTGCGAAACGTTTGAGATGGGAGCTGTTTCAGCGATCCACTTTGGTTTAGACTTCACTCAGACTAGCCATTAGCTCATCGATCTTGTCAGAAATAATAGATATTTCTCCAAACTGGGGTTGTTTATACAGCTACTTGCTCTATTCGCTGTTCATAACTTTTTCACAGAAACAGCATCGTTCCCGTTTATGTCCACAGAAATGTTGGGCATTTGTTTTGTTTACACGTCTGCTCACTAAAAACGAGTCCGTTTTTAAAGTTTGTCTGCGGCTGGAAAACATTTTCCACCCATTTGTTGGTTTAATTTTTCTCCGCGGGTTTGTTGCATTTGTTCGACTGAAGGCAGAGGTGAAGTTTGTGTTTGATGCTTTTTAAATTGTCAACATGCAACCTGACGTCAGCGCCAAACAATAAAGTAGCCATAAAACACTCAGGCAGGATGTTCACATCCTCTCACTGCATAGATCACATCTGGCTCTGAGGTTGTTTTGAACAGCTACACGACCCACCCCCACACACACACGTGTTCTTCAGAGGAAGATGATGATCTCGGCTCCTCCTGCCTGTGTTTGTGTCCTCAGGTAATATATGCAGATAATTCTGTAGTCATTTTTGTGGCAGGTGGGGTCCCTCCGGACCCGGAGATGGATTATTATCAGCAGCGGCACCAAACAGGAATGCTGCTGGACACATTAGCATTTCCTCAAGTCTCTGTGGTCTGCCATGGTGAGGAAACATGATTTCTATTTAATGCATATTTATGATAATCAGTCTTCTCGTAACAGAGACGAGCGCGGAATGAGCGGAGTTGTGAAACTGAATATTCAGTGACATTTTTCATCTTGTAAAGCAGAAGTTGGATTACACGGCCTGCATTACATTCATTTAAGTAAGACGTCTGCGGAAATGCACAGACGGGTGATGAAAAATTATTTAATCTATAAAAACTAATTAAGCATTTAGAGGATGAAATCATCAAGTTGGGGCATTGTTGGTGCTTGGTGTGTTAGGGGTGAGTCTCAGCTACTACCACGTTAAACTTCAGCTTAGTGACCAAACTGTAGCCACTTTTAGGTTGGATATGGCTGAGTAGCTGATGACGAACGTTGTTTTTTCCATACTGTACATGAATGCAACATTTTCATCAACAGTCTGACATGCTCAGTGTTTTTGAAGTGGTATTCTGTGGAAAGTTTATGAACAGTTAGTATCTCACTTGTTGTAGATAGTTTCTGTAATAAAAGTTTGCATGAATAAAATGTACGGTAATTCTGATCGATGGGCTAACGGCTAATTAGCTAGCAAGGGCATCGCTGCCGTCGCAAAAATCCTAATAGCATTTCGCACAAACTTTAAAAAATAAAAAATGAAAAAAACTACATGGGAAGGCTTGTTGCTTTGCTGCTTTTTGCACGTGCTGTAATGCAAGACTAACAATATAAATGTTTAGAAAATAGCATTTGCATGAAATGGTGTAAACATTTTTAAATAGATGTGTTTACATTGGCAGCATTATACTTTGATCTTGGCCTCGCTCAAACTAACTTATTAGTCTGATGAAAAATAAACTTTATTCCTCATAACAGAAGTTGTTTTTAAAATGATCTATGACAGGTAAGATATTAACTGTCATCTTGTTTATAACGCAGCTTTAAACGAGCTGAACTACTTCTTTAGAGGCCTTGTGAAAGTCTTTTTTTTAAAGCAGTTTGGGATCAGTGTTTTCTATGTGAAAGAAATATTTATTTTATGTATTTGTAATGTTGCAGAACTGTATATGCAGCGCTCTTTGAGGGTCTGTCACACCACAACGTTTTAGACAACTGATGCTGACGTATGAAAGTTTTGTCCAACGTGATGATATACGCTGAAGATGGAATAAAAACAATCAACTGGAAACCTTTTTTGGACGTATTCACAATGTGATGCCAAGATGAACGAATAAATAAGCTACGCTTAACCTACGAGTACATTTTCCATAACTTGTCTCTAGTTTGTACATAACCTACACAAGCATATGAGAGTGTTTTTGATTTATGCAGAGATTATGATGAACATTATTGTAACTTTAGCTTATGCAGAGCATGTTGGAGCGGACGGACGAGACATCAGCTACAAGAAGAGATACACCGATGTCCCCCGTCGCTGAGGGACTTGAATAGTGAATGTTTGTAGTTTTAGAGATGAGTGTTTGTCTAGACTGGAATTGAACAGGGAATGCAAGTAAACCTTAATGTTTTTGGTGCAAGATATTCAAGTGAGGAGGCGGAGTTACACTGTGAATAAAAAGAAAGGCATTTTTTTAGCTTTATTAACTAATTAGCTTTATTTAGTTATTTAAATTTTTGTTTGTTTGTCCGAGACAGTGCCGAGTGACTGTACTTGGCGAGTGAAGGGCGACGTTTTATCCACCACCAATGTTGGAGCCAGGGGGTGGCCAGTGGTGGCCTCGACTCCCATAGAATTGGCCACCCCATTCATTTGAGGAAAGTATACTATTAAGCAAAATAAGAACTAGAAAACATAGTTTCCTCCAATAATAGTAGTTGTCGATTTGCATATATATATAGTCGTGACCATCTTGGATTTTGACTTGGCAATCAAATTTTTTTTACAGTGCCTTTTTTCACACCTAGATGCAGCCACACACCAAAATGGAAGCACCTTTCTTATTTTTGGAGTTGTCACACAACATGGACAGACAGATGGACAGACAGTATTTCCAATTGCCACTTTTCATTCTGCCACGGGGGACAAAAAGCACACCTCTCTTTGTCCTCAATCAGTAATTTAGCATTGATTAACATGCCTCAGAAGAAATCAAACAAATCTGTGATGAAGGAAGCTGCAGCAAGAGGCCAAGGTTGACCCAATCAGACCTTCTCATCATCTTCACACCCACACTCACCCTCCTCTGCGTCTGTCAGTATACGCCATGAAAACCGATACAAGTTACAGATACGTTAGAAATAAGTTACTCATACTACTCAACGGACAATGATGTATGTCATCTTATGAGAAATGTGTGTTGTGTGTGAACTTGTGCACAACTTGCTCATTGCATATCTGTACTTTATGCCTAACTCAGCAGCAGGTTGACATGCACTGAACATTTTGTGCATGTGCAAAATTACTGGCTTGCATCTGCATACAACAACTTCAGCCATCGGATATCAGCGTGCTGGTAACTTATTCAAACTTGTGCCTGTTTGCCATTTTTTCCCACACTGATGCTGTATGTCGCTATGTGACAGCCTCTCTGCACAATGAGTGTGCAGGAAGAAAAACAAACCAAACCAAGACCCAAACCAGAAACTGCTGCAGGAAACAACTACAAAGGCTTCTTGTCCTGCAATCCAGACGGTGTGAAGTCTGAGAAGACGTTCTGTTTGACCCGTTGGCTCGGTGAGTCTGTCACGTTTCCTCTGAGGGTTGGAG